AGAAGAGGGATGCTGGAGGATGTTAGAAGAGGGATGCTGGAGGATGTTAGAAGAGGGGTGCTGGAGGAGAGGGCTGGGGGATGTTAGAAGAGGGATGGTGGAGGATGTCAGAAGAGGGATGCTGGAGGATGTCAGAAGAGGGATGCTGGAGGAGAGGGCTGGGGGATGTTAGAAGAGGGATGCTGGAGGAAGAATGATGGAGGATGCAGGAGGGATTCTGGAAGAAGGATGGTTAAGGAGAGATGTTAGGGATGCTGTTGGTTCCCTGTAACCTCAGTCTTTGGTTCTGGCCTATCTTGTAAACATGTGTGAAGTTCACTGCTTCAAAAACAGCCTGACAGCAATGCTCCTGGGCCCCACCTCAGCTCAAGGCAGGCGTTTGTATTTCCTTCCCCAGGCTGAAATTTTGCCTGGAGCATAGATGGGTTGTCTCTTACTCATTAGTCGGAATGGATTCACATCAAAGGGCATTTTAAAGTCGATCATCATTAGCAGTGCCACAGAGAAGATCTTTGACAAGGACAGGGAATTTAGTGTGAGCAGCTCATTAGAAACGGTGTGTGGGGGGGGGGATTTAAAGTGCAGCAAAATGCAATCAGTTGTGCAAAGATTCCCTGTGCCACTTAGATGATAATGTTCTTGTCACCACACTGCTCTGCTCCTGCCTCTCAGTCAAGAGCAAGCAGAGGCAATGGGGCTTTTCAGAGCCCAGAGCTGAGAGACAAAAGCTTGCAGAACCTGTAGCCAATGAGAGGTGGACCCTTTAATGAAAATAACAAGACACCCATTAACTGCCTCCGAACTGCTGCGTGTCCAATTGGTGTCTCTCTTGACAGATGCTCTCTGTCCCCTGCTGAAGAGTACAACATGGGGGAGAGGAATTTAGGCAGCGAGGCTTCTTAATTAGTCAGATTTCCATGGCCCTAACAAAACACACGAGGCTACTACTTGTCAAGAGCAGCAGTTATTTAGCAGCAGGACAAAAGTCCAAGCATTATGGTTCCACTGGCTCTAATGGGGCAGGTGTGGGAGTGTGTAAGGGAAAACATTACCACAACGTGTGAGAAAAGGGCAGGCTCATCTCCTTTAAGAGTGCTCTTGAGGGTCTTTGAGCGGGTTCCAAAGACAGATGCAAATCCCTTCCCAGGGCAAGGGTCCCAGGGACCTCCTTTCCGATCTAACCTCTAGATGTCTCACCATTTCCCACTGTGATCCTGAGGGCTGAGCCTCCAATGCAGGAAACCTCCTGTGAACCTTGGAGACTCCCCTCAGAGCACCAGCCTCTGAGGCCGGCCTCCAACTCATGTCTTTAAATGAGAAAATGTTGAACTGTTTGGGCTCCCAAGGTTTACTCCATTTCCACCCTGGGAATGTGTAGATGTAACCAACCGTCTTATTAAATAAGAAACACAGAAACAATGTAAAAGAGAAAGCCGAGAGGTCAGAGCTCAGAGCTAAAATCTCACCCTTCCGCCTGCGGTGTCCCAGCTTCCCGAAAGAGACCTATTTCTTGTCTGTTCATCTATTTATAGTATTTTGTTCTGCCTTCTCATTGGTTGTAAACCCAAACACGTGACTGCCTCGTCACTGTCTGAATGTACAGCCCCCTAGGTCTTAAAAGCATATGTCTCCAATGCTGGCTGTATCTCTGAACACACAGAGATCTATGGGATTAAAGGCGTGTGCCACCACCGCCACACTCTTGCTATGCTCTAATAGCTCTGACCTCCGGACAACTTTATTTATTAATATACAATCAAAATCACATTTCAGTACAATTAGATTACCACCACAGGAATGAGGTGGAAGACTTCTCAAATCCCTGTTTCTGCACTGAGGTCCAAGTGCCCCCTCTCACCGCCACCTCCTAGAGATGCGGCTGTTACGGGGTGATGTAACTGCCATGGCTGGCTTCCCTGATGCTGTGATAAGACACTGACTAAAACCAACTTGGGGAGGAGAGAGTCTGTCTGGCTTACAGGTCACAGTCCATCATCAGGGGAAACCAGAGCAGGAGCTCAGAGCAGGAACCTGGGGGCGGGAACGGAGACAGAGACCATGGAGCAGTGCTGCTTACTGCCTTGCTCACAGCCCAGGATCACCTGGTTAGCACTATCCATAGTGAGCTGGACCCTCCCACGTAGATCATTAAAAAAAGAATGCCTCACAGGCTTGGCCACAGTCCACTCTAACGTCGTAATTCCTCAATTGAGGTTCCCTCCTCCAAGATGATTCGAGTATGCATCAGGTTGACAAAAACTAGCCAGGACAGCAGAGGAATGCTGAGCGGCTTCAGTCAGATGGATAAACACCGCTGTCCTGAACTTACTCCACTTAAAGCAGGCATTCTTTTGAAGAGGGTGACACAGGCAGCCTGTTTGGTGCTCTCTTCCGGTGTGTTGCTCAGCTACTATAGGCAAGAATCACAGCGCAGTGAACTCAGACCTGTGAAGCCTGTCTCTAATGCTAACAACCACGTGAGCCTTGCATTTCTTGTCTTCCGTGTCCTCATCTGTGACATGGGTGGTGCTTTTCCAGTGATGATGTCTTAGACTATTGACACCAATGCCTCTGTCCTCTGTGTAAGAATTATGCACCCCCTTTTCTACATGATTTTCCAGTATGCTCCTAGCAGCCTGGGTGTTCTGGTTCTATTTCTTCACTATGATAAAATACCTTGACAAAAAGCAACTTATTTTTTTGAGATGAATAAGTACACCTACTGCTGCATAGAGCACTTGCTGTGTTAATATTTAAGCCAGAAGCATTTTCAGATTAACAAATGACACCAGAAAGTGATGTGTATCGCAAAGTAATGTACTCCAAGCCTACTGCAAAAGCAGCCGGCTACAAGGCGTTCTTGTTGAGGTAACTGTCCTTGCTTTCCTTGAGTCGAAACCTGCCTGTAGCTGGGTGTTTATTGTGGTCATTGGAGCCCTGTTCTGACCTTCAGGAGCACACCCTCCCTCTCAGAGACAGACAGCTGGAGCATAGCAGTTCCTGCTTCCCTACCTTCTCCCATTTCCACCCATACACCTGGCAGCCACTGAGAAGTGTGGCTAAGGAGTGGTCATTTACCAAGGCCAGCCTTCACTCTGCTGGCCCATTTGCACTCTCCATCTCCTTCCCTGAGATTCATCTACCTTGATTTTGAAGAACAACACATTCTTCGTCTTTTAAAAACACCCCGTACCTTCCCTCTCAGGAATTTCCCTGTGATGAAAGTGAGGGAGTTTTCAGAACTGAGCACTTGGGTCCCTCTTGAGGTCCCCTCCCTAGGCTACCAGCACAGGGCAAAGCTGGGCAGTGCCATTGTGAGGCATTCCTGGGCAGCAGGACCAATACCCACATGTCCTACTGTTCTACCCCAACCCCTTCGCACAGGTACAGTTTGCCCTACAGACCCGTGGCTGCTCTGGACCCCCAGAGCTTTGCCCTGCAGACCTGTCCCTAAAGTGCAGGACTCATACCAATCAGAGCATGAGAAAGACTGTGCTGAGCACAAAGACACGGAGCCTCTCTGTCTGCAGGGCTTGCCTGGAGGTCTTTCCAGCCTGGCAAGCTACTGAAAGCTAAAGGCCTGAGGTGAGATGGGGCATGTGATGGACTCTTGGGCCCCAGGCTAATCACAGCAACACATCTTCACACAGTGTGCAAACACCCCACAGCGGGTCCCAGCCCCTCCCTCTCTTCTCTGGCACTGTACAACATTACCTCAGGCCCTGCAGGGTGGGAGCCTGTGGGAAGTCCAGCCCTGACCTTTCAAAGGGTCCTTAGGTAGAGGAGAGAGGGATAAGAAAATATCAGCTAGAAAGAGAGACCTAGACAACAAGGAGGACGAGAGAGACACAGGATAGCTTCAGGAGGGCCTGGGTCAATATCCAACAGCCTTTACTGCGAAGGGCTTTTTATAATATGCCAAGGGGAGGGGCAAGATCAAAGCACACCATACAGCCAAGTGCAGACCCTTCCAAACACCTGGTAATCATGCCTGTGGCCAAATCATCTCCTTATGCAGCCCTGCTGGGTAAAGCAAGCTCAGATTCTCTGACCCTGAGTAAGTTCTCACCAGGAAGCCTCTGTGGGCTCCCACTCTGCAGGACATATGTCCCATGTTGTCTTCACACACTGGGCTTCTGTGTGCTGGTCATCGACAGCGTGCCTCCAACTGCCCCACAGTGGGCTGGGTGGGGGGAGTCCCTATCCTTTCCATCACATTTATTACCCCTTCAGGCTCCTCCCCATCATGGAACTCGCCCCAATGTCAACAGTGACAGGATAGAGTCCCCACCGTGGGTAGCACCTCTTTGGATACTGTAGCTAGAGTTTTCCTGCCTGGCCCACAGTCAGGACAAATCTCTGTC